GTAGGGAAACAAATCCACCATTAGGCTCACACAGTATAGTCAGGTCAGAAAGCATGAATTTGTAAAGCTTCTTGTGTACGGAAGTCAAAATGTTATAGATCTCCATAACAGAAATTAAAAGCTTGATGGTTTCAAGTATTATTGCTGAAGAAACCTTAAATTTAAAACACCAACAATTTCTTTGCTCACCTGTTAACCCCACTGTGGCAGTCTGGGGGGTTGGGGTGCTTTTTTTGGATTTGACAGCCACCTTGAGAAAAAACATCTATTTCCATCCACATCTTCCCACTGCAACCAAAAAAAATGGATTCAGGCTACCAAGAGCAGTACACAGGATACAGCGGTGGACTGCAAACACTACGGAGACATTCAGTACTAGTTGATTAAAAGTCTTATACCCCTCTGTGGTGAGAGAAATGACAAAAATGTGAAATGTTAAGTCTACCAGATACACCATTTCTGCTCAAGTGTGATTATCTTATGTAGCTAAAACTCCCAGTGTTACTGTTTCATTAACTTGGACTGAGCTGGCTGAGAATCTCATTCTTAGTGGATATAGATCCTATCTTAAGAAACAGAACAGGGATGAAGAAACTTGAGCCATGAATTAAAAGTAAGAACTGTGCATTGATTAGGAATGCAACTAGGTCTCACCTTCTTACTCTCTATCTCTGTTGTGTTTTTTTTTCTTTCCCTGTAAATTTGAACTCATAATTTTTTACTCTCTGAAGGGGTGTTGTAAAGCGTAGCACAGGAATAAAACTGTCTAAGCAGTTCTGTCAGTGTGGTAGCTTCATTACAGTGTGATTGCCGTTTGCTAACACCCAGGTTGGATTCTGCATTCACCTAACACAGGCTATGACTCGTAAGCTCTCGTTACCATGCAGATTTTTTGGAGGGATTGCTTTGCATGCTGCTTGCTACACAGAACAAATAGTTAAAGTAACATATGATTTGGATAATAGATTTATAAAACTCCCACTGCCTATTACAAAAATGGTGTCCATTGTTTAAAATTCACAAGGCTTAATTTTGAGCGTGATCCAGTACTACTGAACTTGGTCACAAGGCTGTCCGAGCACTGAAAAAGCAATTTTCAAAGAGAGTCAGTTAGTGAAATTAATCTTACTGCACTATAGCACCTGGCGACCTAATTTCTTTCATGCCTGTGGACAGTCTCAAAATCTCAATTCCTCTCCATATCCTTCCTTTGTGTAGTGCTGCAGAATTCTTTGGAATGCTAATATTCATATGCTGACTATTCATTTGCTCCCAAGTGGTTATTTTGTAGGAATTGCAGCCCGTAAAGATCTAACTGGTTTCATTTCTGCCAACCTGAAAGCCTGTCCAAGTCATTATGCAATATAGCAGTAGATGTGGTCTCCAAGGCAGTGCCAAGACTGCAAAAACCTCCTAGGTTAGTGAAGGGAGAGTGGTGACAGGACATCTGTCATAATGCACAGAAGAAAAAGCCACTGGACCCTTAATCCTTTCCTTTGATCCTCATTTATTAGCTTCTATAATGTGTGAGTAAGCAGAGAAAAGAGGCTTTGAATTCTGATTGTCTGGAAAAAAGAAGAGTGGGACTGAGGCGTTAGCTGGATTTAGATGTTTTCTCTCAATAAATTTTTCCTGACCACCCCACTGCAAACTGAGATTTTGTGAGGTGTTTATTTTGGACTCATCCATCTAAGTTGTTTTAGAAAAGTTCTGTACTAGACAGAGAGGCTTCAATTATGTGCTGTAGAAAAATAAACAAAAATCCACATACACACTACTAAAAATTTGCAGTCTCACGTACAAACACTGTCATAGTGCTTAATTGTATGGTTAACTTACTTCAGTGGTTCTGGTTACTCTTTTCATAACACCGTAACAGTACTTTTACTAGAGAAGAGGGAGAATGGTGCAAGAGGTTAAGGTTTCTTTTTAATCTGGCCTATTTCATTTTCACTTTTTGCTCTTTATTACCACACTTGATGACTTTAAATGCAAAATGTTTCTATATTCACTGATGGTGGAGGAGAGAGCTCTGCATGCTACAAAGTATAAAGATTGATTAGCTGTCCTTGATGTCTGTCCTGCAAGTCTGAACAGATGTGTTGGTAATGACACTTTCCCACACAGTATGGGCACTGGTAATGTTTATCCTTCACACTGTTGATTATGAAACCCTGTTTTGGGTGCTAATAACTTGATCAAAATGTAATCCTCGAGGCTGAAATTGCCTTAGCATTATTTCTCATTCAGACTCAAGCTGAAACTTCAAGTCCCGGCAACTTTGTCATGTTTGCAAATTACATGAGAAGCAACTAGTTTCAAGATTTAATGGTTTTCTCTGACATTTACTTGACAACCTTCAGTACTACCATGTCTTGAAGCTTGAAGCTGCACTTGTCAAGAAGGTGGACTCTAGGAAACAGACAACTAGTCTTCCCTGTCGCTAGAAAAACTGTTAGCTGATTTTCTCTGTAGAATTTGTTAAGATTTTTGGTTTTGCTGTAAATGCTGAAAGGTCTATCCTCTGATCTGTCTTGCCACATGCACTGGGTGCAAAGCCCACATAAGTTTCACTTCACCATCTCCACACTCTGCCTAAACCTCACATATTTTGTGGGGAATTGCTGCAGCCTTTCTCATGCTGTGTTCCTATGTGCTAAATTTAACTGATTAGTTGACCTGGGTTCTGCTGGCGGCTGCATCTGACATTTAGGTCAGTTAATGGGACAGAAGTCATGTTGCAGCTGTGCTATTTATCTGGCAAGGCCACCCTCACTTTGAAAGTAGTCCAGCTGGAGGACATAATCCCCAGATGTCTTGCAACATGTGTCTTACCATGCCATGTGGCTGGTTGTATGACTATCACATGCTATATAGTCTCACTCAACCATACGTCTGGCAGGTGACGCAGCCTGTGGCAGCGCAAATGGTGGGACAGAAGACAGCAGCGAGGTTTAAACCCAGCAACTCAGGTCTCTGTTCAGTGGTACTGGGTACCTTCTAGAGAGGGTCTCCCTGGCAAAAGCAAACCTTCATCAACAGGAGATAGAGTTTCATCCCAGAGCGAAGAGACTGAGCTCCAGTTCCTTCCACAGAGTAGCACTAAGCCTGCGTGTATCATCGTCCAGAAAATGCAGTTGAGTTCCCCCTCTCCCCTGACCTGTTTGCTGTTGCACACTGTGTGCTGTTGCTACAGGAGTCTTCCCTTGCTCTGGTCGCAGCTCATGAGGCAGACAGCTGCAAAAGGGGACAGGGAGCTCTTCTGATTGGATGCCCTGTGCGGAGGTCTTGCAGAATCTATTTCATCTGTGCCAGCAGTTGCTATGGGACATTTTGAAAACACAAGAGGTGGCAGCCTTATTTTTGCATTTTCTAACTTTGCAGATTTTGCTTTAATGCCTTGTGGGAGAAGGGCAGGCATTTTTTCTTGAAAGATCAGTAAGTAGATTAAAATGTTAAAATGTGTGTTGGCTGTGAAGTAAGCACCCTAGACAGCACATGGCAGAAATCAGCATTTTCTTCCCACTTTTACAGAGATTTCTATATTTAGAACCTCACATTTTCAATAGGTTTTTAAAATGCTAATATTCTACCAAGGAGCTAGAGTTCAGCCTGTAAGGATGTGTCTATACAACCTGCCTATTCAGTGCTAGAAACTGAATGTTTCTTTAAAGAAGTTACATTTATCTCCTATATATTTCCCCATAATTGAGGATAACCTACTATATGGAAACAGTTTACTTGCAAAAGAAAATAGCATCCTAAGGCATGTTTGCGGTGACTTCCAGAAGTACTGGCAGTGATATAATGGAACAAACAAGAGTGTGACAGCTTTGAGCTAGATCCTCAGGATGTCTGCAGGGTGACAGAAAATGTGTGTTTACAGAGAACATCCTTCCCTTTCATTCTTCTATTCCTTACCTGGCTTTGATACACATGAGTAATCAGACAGTCCCAGAAGATGCATTTGAAGGGGTTAGCACTGCAGGATATACACTTTTAAATGCAAATATCAAAAGCAGCTTAAGGAAACCAAAGTAGGTTGCCCAAATTTGACAGAGTGAACTGAATTAAAGTTTGTGAGCTGAGCAGTTTTTAAACTTGAGTTATGAGGCCTCTGTTCTTACTGCACTGCCACCAGATTCTCAGGAAATGTCCTCAGGCTCTGTGCAGATCTATGCTCAATTCACATTGCAGTTCATAGAGATAAGTGACGCTATACAGAATTTTGAAACTGAAGTTCTCTTGGCAAAGACTCCCTTTGTGACCTTGGAGAAAACACTGTACATTATTACATTACAATGTATTTACAAACCTGGGACAATATTACTTCACTGTCTCTTGGAGAATCTTCATGGAGCAATAGACAGAAAGATTGTGCTTAGATACTAGGGAATTTGAAGAAATTGTAGTAATGTGTAGAAATACATAATATAGTCCTCTCAGTAGAGTGAAGCTGACCATAATGGCTCATGAGTGATGAGCACAGGCTGCTTCCATCTATGCTATGATGGAGTTTCAAACAAGGGCTATGGAGGAGTAATTGGTTCCTGGAAGGTAAATCATCTCAGGTTAAGACTGTCTTAAAAGGAGGAATACTGTTAGGTTTTCTTTGCTATGCTTTACTATCCTCTCCTAAGAGTTGTTGCAATAACTGGATTGAGATTGGATTTGGATTGGATACAATGAACTGCCTTGCACTGTATGTGGCTTCCCGATGTTGGTTTGCTCAGCAGCAGAAAAGAAGAGAAAATGTGTACTTCCATTCAGCGTTTTAGTAAAAATGTGCTAGGAATGTAATGCTGAAGAAAGAAATTAAATTATAGTGAGCAAAATAAATGCTTTTCCATTTTATACATGATTTGTGGAGTAATAGTAACAAAATCAGTTACACAGTTTATAGTTTAGCAGGACTCAGAGAGATTCATGCAGATAGCAGGAACATCTTATTAGCTTTTGAAGGAATGTCAAAAAGCAAAAGGTTTATAATGATATAAGCCCTGGTGGTTCAGGTGAAATAAAATCTCAGTTTAATTCCATTTAAATGGAAACCTTCCCCTAAGCAAGTTACCCATATATAAGTAATGAAGGGTTTCCCACCCATCTCATGAAGTAGCTTGTAACAATTTCTTCTTGAGGTAGATTGGTTGCCTGAGACAGTATACCAGAATGCTGATCCCAACATAAAATCACAGAATTTGTTTATTTTAGCATTTTTTAGATGAAAAGCTTTGATTACCTCATTTTTTTAAGAGCAGAGTGTGAGCACTTTGTTAATGATTATACTTTATTGGAAATCAAGATGCTATATTGTGCCATAGGTTCTGGTTAGCAGTAGAAGACCTGAAGAAGAGGCCTATCCGTGAAGTTCCTGCTCGCGTCCAAGAAATCTGGCAAGAATTTCTTGCTCCAGGTGCACCCAGCGCTATCAATCTAGATTCAAAAAGTTATGACAAAACCACGCAGAATGTGAAGGACCCTGGAAGATACACATTTGAAGATGCTCAGGTCAGTTTGCAAGCTTCTTTAGGGACATTTAAAATAGAATACTGGCTAGTGAAATCTATATACATAAAACAAGGTATATTTGGGAATTAAATGGCAATGCTCTATTTCCTAACAGGCCATTTTGGCAATGCAAATGGATAACATTCTTTCTTTCATGAGGCCTGTGAATTTCTAAAGCTATTGCTGAACCTTCCGTGCCTGGTACAGAGTTTTCAAATAGACTTCAAATAGAGCAAAGCATATAGTGTAGTGAAAATGATATTTTCATGTGCCTGTTTTCTTAATTTTCTTATTCAGTTACAGTAAGAGAAATGCTTCAGCCCCACACGCATTGATTTCTCATTCTCATCTGTCCCTGAAAGACTTACTTTGATACAGGCTCAAGTGTTCATTCTCTCAATGCATGTCTGAAAGTGTTGTTATCATTTACAGGAGTCATAGGTTCCCATCATGAAAAGAATATGACTCATGTGAAAAATAGCATTTTGGAACAGCCTATGCAGAAGTATCGTATTTCATGGATTTTGTATATTCTATACGTTATTAAACTGCAACATGGGGAAAAGATCCTAAAGATCTGCTCTTCAATAATCAGTTCAATAAACAGTTAAAGAACAGTCTGTAAATGTCTTATTGGGAGTCTGATTTAGTTACAGTTCAAATACCACCATCAAAAGATACTTCTGACCAAAGCTAGATTTGTGAAAATATTTATATTTTTGAGACTGGAAGTTAAAGTTAAAAAACCAAAGGAGTAAAATGCCAATTTCAATTTTTCTCGGAAGAAATAACAAGTACTTCTGCATTAAATACAATGCTTCGTGCAACTTATAACTTAATATTTCATCTCTGCTGACTTCCGAGAAAATCAGTAGAAAAGAATTGGATTCACAGTCAAAGCAGTAGAACTAGCAGAACTAATTATTAATGCAAAGTGAAATAGTGTCAAAAGGAGAGATTGAGATCATATTCCTGCAGAATTTCTTACAGCTTGATTACCAGGTCATCATCTTGGGAGTGAGGAGAGACTGCTCCAAGTCCCACAAAGGAGAGAAGGGAATTGAACCAGGAGCTTTCTACATTTTGGGAATGTGCCTCTGCCCTAAATAAGAGGGAGAATAATCCTACCATCTTTTCATTTTGATATTATGGGAATAGCAACCTATGATGCAATGCTAAAGTTTTCATTAGGCACAACATTGCACCTACTGTTCTGAAGTACTCTACATTAAGCCAAACACATAGTTTTTGCTGACCTCTTGGAGATTTAGGAATGCTGCATATAGCAAAGACATAAGCTGCACAAATAAACAATTTAGCAAGATTAAAGGATTTTAAAAAAACATGTCTTTGCAGTGGAGTCAGTAAAGGACCATTAAATTCCTTGCACGCATTCAGTTTTATTCTTTTTTAATAGGTGTAAATGTTCAACAGCAGTTATTTCCAGATGATTTTTTTCCATTCATTTATGAAAGATGTGAAGTATTCAGTCTTTATGCTAGCAGGACTTTTCCTCCTGACAGACCTCTGCCTGTTTGATCCAGTTCAGGATACAACTTGAACCTGGAAGCCTCTATTTCTCTGTGCAAAGGGGACAGACTGTACCTGCCCTGTTCTGCCCTCAAGCCTGAGGACCTTTACAGAACGCCCCACCTGTAGTGGAAGGGTTTTGTCAGGGGTAGGGCTGTGCCACTGTGAAAGGTGGTTTATGGCCTGCCAGTGGGGAAAGAGACCACTAGTAAGTCATTCTGGCAGTCAGCAGGTCATTTAATTTTGGTTAAAAACATTTTGAAAAGCATTTCTGGACTTAAAAGGTGGCACCATGGAACTCCATGTCAAGTGAGACTGATACATAAGTAAAAATAGACTGATGGTACTAAATAATATCCAGCTTCAATTCCCCACTAACGTGTACATTAACAATACAGCCTAATTTATTCTTGCATTTACAGTGGGCTTTTTTGCACAGAAATAACATTTTAATGCCCATCACCATTGATATGTACAACAGGAGCACAGTCCTTTCTGCTCTCTGTTCTCTGTTGGCTGCATTGATTGCTTTCTTAGAAACTGAGCGGAATAAAAACTCTTCAAACTAGCCCAAGTTCTTAATATACGCCAGAATTTCTCTGCTTAATGCAGGAAATACAATGAAAGGCACTCTGAATTATTTCTGGAGCTTCTAATACAACAAAAATTTAAAATCAGCTGAAATTTTACCTTGCCATAATTTTAAAGCAAGGTGGCTTGTTTTTTTTTTCTAATCACTGTTTTTATGCAGTATCAATCTGAAAAACTGTATTTATTTACATTTTTTGCTGTTTCCTGATTGCTATAACTTTCCTATAGTAAAAGGTAGTTTGAGTAAGAATATTAAAATAGCTAATACAATTCAGTGAGTTTTTTAACTATATTTTTGAGAGTATTTCCTATGATTGTGTGATTTCGATTCTTTTTCTTCAAATCTCTTTCCTAACATTAGAACTAGAATTATAAAGTGTCCTTCATCACAGATTTTTAGTTTTTCATATTTTACAGAAATGAGAATGCTCCAGAAATAAAAGCTTTATAAACTGCCTGCATCATTTACTTTCTGGATAAGAGCTTCCGAATTTTCATATGCCTCCGAAGAATAAATATCTTGTAAATTAGATTAGCCTGGAACTGTTTTTCAATTTGCATATGTATTTTCCTTTATATATTGTCAGCTGGATAGCAGAGTAAACATCTATCAAAGGGTGTTTTCAAGAGTAGCCAGGGGATAAGCATTTATTTGTGGTGCTGAATTAGAAACCAAGTACCTTTTCCCAGCCTGTGAAGTCAGAAAAGCACCTCCAGAAACTAATTCAAGGAATCTGATGAAGAAGGCTCCACAGCTCCTGATTTAGTCACTTAGCTAAACTGACTAATGTAGGGGAGGCTTGAAACTGGGCCTAAAGTTAGAACTCAGTCATAAATTCTTAGAAAAATAATTCAGTAAGTGAAATAGGGAGCATAAATTAAAGAAAGGTCTGTTGTGTTCTTTATACATAACACATAGATGGGGTTTCTGCTCTAAGAATAGAGAACACTTCAGAATTGCAACCTGCTGTCCCGTAAGACTTTCTATTCAAAACAGCGTTAACTGGTATGTGTTCACAACTAAAACATATGTGACTGCCTCCTATTTTACATACATCTTCTCTTACGGGAGTAACAGCTCCTTTTTTCCCTTTCAGGAGCACATTTACAAACTGATGAAAAGTGATTCTTATCCTCGTTTTATACGATCCAGTGCCTACCAGGAGCTGCTACAGGCCAAGAAAAAGGTATTGGTCCATCTTGCCTTTGTCTTGCCACTGTGCAAAGCAGTGGTTATGTTTGCAACAATACTCAGTCTTCTCTCCCCTGTGCCAGTGCAACTGGATATCTGGTAGGTGACCAGCTTGGCGTGTTTGGAGGGTCACGTACACACAGGAGTTCAATATATATATATGTGTATATATCCTGCATGTGGGCATGTTTCAATAAGTTAATCTAGCAAAACTTATTTTTATTTTTACATCCCATGTTGTACTGTTTCTCTGTTACGAAGCACCTTAAATTGCAAAGTGCTTTATAAATACATTGAAAAAATAAAATAAAATCCCAGAATAGTCTTTCATGTTTGAAAGTTTGGTTATGTAATAATTGTTGTTCTCTTTGTTCCACCTATAAAAGCTACAGAATGTGTTTAGAAACAATCTTATTCATATGAATAACTTCTAATTTCAACAATAAATATAGGGGCTTCTTAATTCTGTTTATTTCCATATTATTACGTGAATAGTTTTGAGTAGGCTAGGAGTCTGACTTGAAAGACTGATCATGTCACACTTCTGCACACAGAGGCTCATGTCTTGGTATGTAATATTTGCTTAGAAAAATCCAGATTATGGAATCAGTTCTGAATAGATACAACCCACAGTATGTGGAGCAGCTTGTGCAATGCAAATTTCTATAATGATAAATAATTTTAGTAGCGGGCTCTAAATAGTAATCTCCTAGAGTCAGCTGGCAGCCTTGTGCCTTGCAAAATCAGGGCCCTGATCGTTACTGGAACAAGGTAGTTATTAACACCGTAACGTTCTGTTGTTTATAATTGCAGCCTAAATTTATATGAAAGTACTGTGTGATTTTGTTTTTTTGTTCAAACATTGATTTCTGAAGATCCAATATAGAAAGAGATGTTGAAAATACCAGAAAGCTACAACTGTCCGTGTGAAGTCCTTAAGTTTGTGAATGTCAGTTCATTAACACAAGATGTGCACTTCATTATTTCTTTTTGTTTTCAGTTATTCTTTTAAATCAAACCAGTTTGATCTCCATGAAAAATTATTTTGTTGAATACTGTATCTGCTTTGCCCATCCCATTTTGCAGAGTCATATTACAGCTTCATACCTGTGTTTGCTTCCTGATTTATACAGACTTTGTTTTGCAGTCCATTGTTTCATCAATCCTTCTTTTCTACTCCATTTTTTCTTGCTTTTGTTTTTCCCCTCCTTTTCTTTTTGTTTCCTTTTTTTAATTTTTAATTTAAGTTGGAAAACACTCTGGATCGTCGAACATCTTTTGAGAAATTCACACGCAATGTGGTAAGTTTGTTGCCTTGGAAGACTAGTAAACTTGATGGGACATCCTTCTCCCCTTTCCCTCACCGATCCCTGCTCTCCCTTTTAGCTTCTCTAAGCTGACAATTAAAAGTATATTCATCACAGTTTGTAAGTTTTCCTAGGAATGACAGCTTTATAATGTGCTTTCATTATAACCCCACCTTCCTAGTCCCCTTCCCACTGACCTCAATAGTCACATGTGGAGGAATGGTTGGGAGCCATGCTTTTTTTCCATTAGGAAGCATGAAATTACTAACTTTTTTTTTTTAATATAAATTGTAGTAAAGAATCAGTGAAAATCTGCTTGATGTTGTTCCTTTTTCTGGTGCATCCCAAAATACTAAGTCTAACACAATTTGAATACATTGGATTTCCATCCTGTCTCCTTTTTATTCTACTAAAAAAGAGTTTGTCCCATTATTTTTTAATTGGGCACAAGGAAAAGTAAAAAATAATAACTTCCCCATCTTCCTTAATGTCTAGCACAGCTTCTTCAGGACCAAAGAATTCATACTGATGATGCGCAAGGGTTTGATTGGAGTTTCATTTTGATAATGAACTACAAGAACTGATTTTCTTTAATATATGATTTTTGAAAGCTATTTCACTAAGGTAAAAAAAAAATGAAAGGTGGTGGATTTGCTGTGGGCATTCTCTTGCCACCTGCCAAGTGTTCCACTGATTTCCTGATATGTGGGATTCTTTTTACTTAGCCGGTTTCTATGGATTTTTTTTTTTTACATTGTGAAAGTTCAAACTAAAGCACTCAACGCATTTATTTTTGTAGGGCAGAAACATCCCTATTTTTCCATGCCATAAAAACTGTACACCAACACTGAGGGCGAGCACTAACCTGTTATGAAAAGAGGTAGAAAGATCTTGGATTATACTCAAGTTTGTCTGCATTGTCTGTTGAATTGTGCAGGTGATGCTGCCATATGTGTGTGTGTGCATCTGTGGCTTTCTCTGTGACCTGGTTAGTGGAGCTGTGTGCGTTGAAACGAAAAATATGAGAGCTTTCAGCAAAGATCATGGTTTTTGTTTTTTTAGTTTCTAGGGAAGGAGAAGCAGTTCTCAGAAACTGCCTCCTGTATCATGAGGCTTAAGAGTATTTCCTCAAGTATTCTATATATATATATGCTTTCTAGTAATCAAAAAAAGAAACAAATGTTTTGTGAGGCTGTGGGAATATCTCACATGTTAAAGCAAAACTGTAATTCTTTAACTACTTTCTTATAGGTAAAGGCTTCCTGTAATATGTTTTGAATCCACTGTAATCAGGAAGAAATTTGGATTCAATGGGACAAAATCAGTAAAGGACACTAAAAAGTAAATAAACAGCCACAAAAGGAAACTATCCCAGTGTTTGAAACAAAAACCCCTATATTTTGCATGGTGGTGTTGCCATCGCATGTTGCAGTGTGATTTGTGTGTTGTCTAAGCAGGTTGATCTATAAAACAACATTGTACGTGATAATGTTATACATAATAATTACATGGGAAGTTCCATATTAATGAAAGAGCCTGTGTTAATAAAAGAGAGCGTAGAGAGTAGGTAGTACACCTGGGGCCTCTGAGAGCCAGGCTTTTTCCCAGTCACATGGCCTGGCAAGCTGCAATAACTGTGTTTATTTGTGGGAATTTAACCAGCCCGCAGATCAGGAATTGGTTATGGTAGCGAGTGTGTAAGCAGGTGGCTGTAAGAAGAGAAATAAAAAGCTGCAGACAGACGTGAGCAGAGTACAGCACAAAAAGGGAAAAAGTGAAGACAGACTGGGAGGCACTATAATGACTGCGATAATCCCTCTCAGAGCAGCGTCACTGATAAACCAGCGGTTCTGCGCACAAACACTGGAGCACTACGCCCTGCAGGCGTTCCTGGTTTTCATCGTGTTACTCTCAGGGCAGAAGTACCAGAACAGCAGGATACCAGAGATGCAAGGCAGGCCAATAAACCAGCTGTGAGCTAGAAAGGGAACAAGGATTTCTGCATGGGAAGCACTAGTACTTCTTCTGTAGAAGACGGCAATTCTTTTTTTCACAGAGCAAGCTATAAAATAAAACCTGTGGTTTTGCTTTTCCTCAAACTGCTGCCTGTGAATCCGGGTGGAGTCTGTCAAGTCGGGTCAGGTATGGAAGTAAAACACGTCACTGCTAGATCTGTATTCTGTATTAGATCAGCAGCTCTGAGGTTTGCATATTAATCCAGAATGTCAAGATGCTCCAGTGCAAACCTCTTCTCCATGACAACTGCATTCACATCAACCACTGCCCCAGGACCCCTTGCCACCAGGCATTTTTGTTCTTCCATTCTTGTTCTCAGTTATGCTGAGTTTATAATATGTAATTATCTGCCTTGGTACTGTGGTTCCAACCCGCAGGAATGAGGGAAATGTTTCTCAGAATACCCTACAGTGTACTGATTAACTTGTTCAACTGTGAAGTGAGGGACTGTCGTATAGATTTGTTCTGATTAATAGAGAAAACCGGTGTGAGGCAGATCTCCTAAAACCTGGATAAATGCTGTCATCTCTGAATGATTTAGTAAGATGAAAATTGCAGTTTCTTTTCTCCTCTGATGGTTTAGAAAACTTAGACTAATTCTCACTGGTTTTTTTCTCACTTGTATCAAAGTGGGTTTGTAATGAACTAAATTAGACTTCATTTTTTTCTATCTGAGGTGCTTAAAAAAAACCCCAGTAAGCAGGGTTGTGTCTAGGGACCAAACCTGAGAACATGGCCTTGTAATTCATAACCTGATTTGTTAAGACAGAGAAAATAAGAGGCTCCTGATCAGTGATGATTGAAAGTGGGTTAAACTTGCTACAGAAAGCATTTGTTAAACCAGAAAGTTTAGAAACTTTATAAGGGCAATCCCTCTGTACTAATCTTTGAATTAATTGGAAATAACCAAATATAATTAGTCATTATTCTAGTCTGATGGGGAAAGAAATAAAACTGGAGCTATATACACAAAAATACCCCTAGGCTAAGCTCTGCATTTCTTTGACATTGGACAGTTTTCTTTCCAGAAAACTTTCAATGAATTAATGCACTTTACGAAGGCCCTACATGCTCAGCTTAAAACACTGGCTATTTGGCTTGCTCTGTAGATTTTATAGTGCAAAAATGCTAATGCTTTTGGCATTCTGTAGCAGACAATAGGAACAGGTCTGCGTTCACATACAATATAGGTAAAGTAATAGCAGGCTGGCATTTGCTATATGTAGTATTTATTATTGAGCACTTTATAATTCGCCTCTGAGTAGTAAACACAGTGCTCTGCCATTTCCCAGCTGACACACATTTACCTGAGTCTTAAGCAATTTACAGGAATGAAAACTGCAGAGAAATATAGAAACCTGAGGGGTCAGGCCTAGGAAACATACTGTATTTGTTTTACCCTATGCTTCAGATGGTTATTCAAGGTCAAACTAACTCATCTAGCAAGAGTTTGTAGGTTAATCACAAATTAGAGTAGCTCATCAGAAAATGTAAAGATTAATGTGAAAGGAGAAAAAAATTGGGAGCGTTACTTGACTTGGAGTGAGCCAAAATAGGAACGCAGTTGCTCAGCCACTGCCTCCTGTCTGGGGACCGCTCCAGGAAACAGCACAGCCCTAATGAGAAATGAAGAAAGGACTGCAAATCCCCATGACAGGCAGAAGGATCTTGCTGCCCATGCAGCCACTTGGTGCTGCAGCTGTGGTGACAACTCGTGCTCCAAACTCAGTAAATGCTAACCTCCTCCCCTTCCTCACATCTGAAAGAGAAGTGCACCTGCACGTCCCGTGCTGCTGTGGAAATCGGAGCTCCATCCTGCCCCCTTGAGCGGTTCTAAAGCAATTCTCCTGTGCCAGAGGAGCAAGGGCTGCCTAATCTTGGAAAGGGACTTACTTTTTCTGCTGCTGTGCCTCTCCTGTTGTGGATCTCTCAAGGGCTGTTTATATCCTGGCTCTGTGTGTGGTGCATGGCAATGTCACCTGGGAGCTTTCCCTGCCGATGCCGGCCAAGCTGCTGGTGTGCTGCAGGTGTGTCACGCATCAGCAGGTGGGGAATGGTGGGAGCAAGGAGGGTCGGTTCTCGCTCTGCATCTCATTTTGCTCACAGCCGGGTTCACATTGTTTCTTTATTACACCTGGTCAGGTGCACAGCGTTCTCATTTCTAGTTCTACCAGTATCCATCCTGGGGAGTAGCATCTGCTCTGGCAATAAAGAAACATGAAAAAGGGGCCACTGAGGTTCCTTAGCCAAAAGGAAAAGAATTAATCTTCTAAAAGGAAAAGACTTGATCTTTCTCTACTATACATTTCAGCTCCAGCCCCTATATAAATTTCACACTTATTTCTTATAAGCCATATATGTACTGAGGTTGCTGCTGACTTTACTGGAATATTTGAGGTGTTTGGTGTCATGCTGCATAAATAGTCAGAATGTTTGTGTTTAGCAGCTCACACATCTGTACATGGTTTTGTAATTTTCCCCCTAAATTTTCTAAAAGTATATTTGGACGGACAACTGTGTTAAACATTTAATACACTGAGGTAGAGATTGAATGCTGGGGCCAATTGATTTTGTAATCTTAGATGTACTTGTTCACTCCCAACTGCCGTGCTACCTCCTCATACTCCAACTCCCTTTTCAGGGTATACGTGGGGTTTCAGTTTGGCTTGTGTATTATTAGTAAAATTGTTAAATAGTTTCAGTTCTTATGTCCAAAGTGCACCTCTGCAGCCAAAAATCCTAATTCTCTTTAGAATTTGGCCATATACTTTTAAACATTAATGGCAAGGCTATACTGAAAATATTAAAGATCTCTTTTCATTCCTCAGACAAACATCTAATATTCTTCTGACTTTTCTTCCAGTTGTTCCCTGATCTCATTAGCACAGGAAACATTTTCCTACATGTGGTGACTCATATGCAACACCTCTCAACACTAGCCTGTTAGATGTAGTTTCCCAAATCAAAATTTGGCTTATGGAAATGCTATTAACACTGTATCTGAAAGAAATAGCTAGGCTCAGCTCTTAAATTGTGATTCACAAGGAATCTCCTTACATCAGCCTGTAAATTGACTAAATCTGGAAATCTCCTGAAAGTGATAATTATAAAACCCAACCAAACAGAGCTAAAGTAAGAGTATACTCTAGAACAGAGTTTAAAAGAAATATTCAGTAAACTGGAAAATAGCAAATCCCTCCAGATCTGAATAAGAAGGTGGGATAATTCTGTGTTTGGGGTTGCTGTGGATTCTGTGTAGTAAAAGCTTATTTTCCCAATCATAGAAGTAAGCATGATTCAGAACAAACATGGAAGAAGATCTCTTAAGGAGGGTGTATCTTCTGAGCTGTCACTTTTCCAATTATAAGACAAATTAGAACTATTAATACCTGGAAAAAGAGCATACGCTGTTCAGATGGAGACTTTGTATCTATCAAAAGTGTAACATTTTGAGGCAGGGAGGGGAGGTGGATGAGAGGACCCTCCACAGAAATCCTGATCGCTATCGGATTTAGGAGAGAAAGTACCCAAAGAGCAGCAACACCCAGTGATGTAGAATACAGAAAAAAATTATCATAACAGTTCACTGTGCCTGTAGGGGAAAATTCAAATAGTATCTAGAATAATATTATACAAGTCAGATCAACTAATTAACAACTAGTTCTTGCTTTGCTTTTAGGTCAAAGCTTCCTAGTTTATGTGGTATCACAATTCTTTCCTGAGATGCTGGATTTTAGTTGTGGTTCATCTAAAAATTCCAGGGAATTTACAACTCCTAAATAATCAACTGTTATAAATAAAAAAAACTACTTTACAGGCTTTATCCTACAAGAGCTTGCACAGCTTTCCAATGCAGCACTGAGAAAATTGTTTTAATGAGACAATAAAAACCTCCTGGTTTAATTGTTTTAATTAACTGCCTTTTGCAGTTAAGTACTAAAGGGAACTCATACATATTTACAGAAACTAGCCTGGCCTGTAGATCTGTAAAATTAAATAACTTAATGAAAGACAAAGGCAAACATATGCTAAATATTTTCTAGGATTATGTCCAAGGCTGGCTATCATGACTTACCTAAAAGAACACTTAATTTTGGACACTAAATTTTATTCCAGTCCCACACAGCTGCTGAGATGGTTTTGGCGATTTAAAAAGAAAAGGTGTCTTACTATAACCGTTTACCTGTTACATTAGAGGAAAACATACTTTAAGGCTTTAAAAGTGTCAAGAAGCTGCAAATTTAATGTAGGTGGAAAGTAACAGAGTTAAAGCTAGACACAGGAAAGCAAGTGTGCCAGGAAAGAGACCTTCCAGCTTTCGAAGCAGTGAGTATTAATACTGTTGGGTGATATGATGAACCTGATGGATGAGTAGTCTAAATCAACATCGCAGATTATGAGTTCCCTTCCATATTATATTGTATGGGAAATATTCATCCTAATTTGTTCAGTTTGCTTTTTCAGAGCACAAATAATAAAATAGTTATTTTTGCTTTTGGGAAGACCCACTCTGACATATTGCATCTGAGCAAATGCTTGAAACCAACTAGCAGATCCCTGTGAGCATGAATATAATTGATAATGACAATAGAGATTAAACTGTGTAATTCCACTGAATTATAATACAGCAGAGGCCCTAACAATTCATTAATAAGGCAGAATAAGTTAATTTACCGTTTACTGCAGAAAAAGAAACATCTCACCATACTTACAGTAGTCTCCTTGAAATCAGTTTGATTTTTCTGAGTTGTGCAATTAAAATGACCAATACAATAAATGTAAGTATTAAATATCTAACTGGAGATTTAGACAGAGCCACTTTCTATTTCATGTTTTATGGTCTATTTGTGTTACATTGTCAGGGTATGCTGGTGATATTTCAAAGAGTGATGTAAGCTTGCTGTGCAGGGTCTGTTGCGTCAGAGCCACAGTAGGGTTGCCCTAAGAGAGCTAATTCCATTTGTGTGGCCTTAGGAGAACTAGTTCTTGTTATGTGGTTTCATGGCTTTTGTCTGGCTCAGATAAAGCTGAACTCTGCCTGAAATATTCCGCGGTGACATACTATCCTCTTCACACCGTAGACCTAACTCTTGTGTGACAGTCACAGCTTATTAAAAGAACTTGCTAAAAAACTGAAACATCATCCTTGCGACAGGAGGAATGATGAGGAAAATAATAATACAGAAATCTGAACATCTTCAAAGCAGTGTTACGCAGTCACAAGTACTATACCTGACCAATGTTCCTTACAAATAGTAAATATGGTCTCAGCAAACCAATAGCTGCATTCATGAAAAAGCTGCTTTCCTGCCTATATGCAATCTGCCTCTTTCTTACCTTAACTTTTAAGTAGCTCTTTGTCTTTTGCGACAGAGCTACTGCAGTTTGCACATTCATCTTGGTAGCACAAGGCACTGTAGCTTGTAGTAGCCTTCTTCGAGTTCTGGATATGGCCGACAGCAAAAACCTCAGCATTAGCTTCTCCTCAGCCAAAACCAATCTCATTCCAAAATGCCCTTTCAATTTGCTGGCTCATTCTATGAAACAACCTGGCTGGCTGGCTGGCAGTGCAGGTATTCAAGCATCAGGGCTTCCTGTAGTTTAAGATTTGACAGACTCCAGTTGATGCCCCTAGTTATTTGACAGTGATGTGGCAACACTGAGTGGTTGCTGATGAACAGGTCTGCAGTGATCATGCCTCTGTTTTCTGTTTTTGTTTTTTGTTTTTATCTTTTCCTCAGGGGAAATCGCTCACATCAAAGAGGTTAACCAGTCTAGTGCAGTCCTACTAAAAGGATCACCTTGTAGCATGGAAGCAGACTCAAATCATTATACATACTTTGTAGCTCACTGATTGCCTGACTCAGAGGACAGTAGAACAAGATGTTGCATGAGCAAGGACCTGACTTGTTTTCTTTTGTGTATACTAAGGCATTACAGACTCCGAGGGACTCTCTAGCCTTTCGATGCCTCCATTTCGAAAACTGTCTGCTCACTTCCTCCTTCATATCAAGCTGGATCTGTGTCTTTTTATTTTCTGCAAGCTCAAGTACAGTGAAAAAAAAGCTTCTGCTAGGCACAGTTTATTAAAAAAATACGTCAATCAAAAACTGGAAGAAATGTAAAAAATGCATATATTAATAAATATACATATGGCATCACATTTATTGCACAATAAATTAGCACAGAAGGTTTCATTTCACTGATGTATTCACATTGAGAAAGAAAGCCTGTGTCTTTGTCTGTTGTCTGTATATTCTCTGTTAATGTTTCTTGCATTTATTTTTATACCATATTTAAAAAAGAACACCTTTTACTCCAGATGTATTAAAGTTGATCCTTTCTCTGTAAATTTGTGTATGTTTATATTGTTGTTTTATCTTTCATTAAAAGATGCAGAATCTCTTTCCTTTGGGAAGTTTGAGATTTTAATATTGAATTTGAAGATTAGTCAAGAGCAAAATCATCCTCGAAAGTTACACACCTTGTGCTTTCTAAAAAGTGACATGAAATGGCATTTTCTTTCTCTCAGTGACACCTAATCAAACACACTTTATTGATAATCATTTACTTTTTATTTTCCTTCTTTCAAGCTAGCAGCACAGAGACCTTTCCAGCTTGCTCATCATCACATAAGCAAACCTTGCTTTAAGCTAGACCCGCTCTGTAACAGAGCAGCCTGCACAGCGACTCGGTCGCTGCTCAAGACCGGATCGACTGAACTGCATTTCCATAGGAACATACGTGAACAAAGCTGGCTGAGGAGTGAATTCTTGCTAAATAGGAAGGACAGTATTTTCTTTCTGTCACGTGTGATACTGTGCACCATTTTAAGCTGAAAAAGTAGTGGTTTGGGAATGCTAAGTATGCTGTCTGTAGGGCACACCTTGGGTAGTAAGGCAGGAGGCTGCCATTTTACATCAAGGGCTCTGCTCAGGTGTGCTGGTGTGTGGGCACTGCTGGGGTCTGTAGCACAGAGGCCCACTGACAGGCTTATGAGAGCATGTGGAGGTTGCCCGTGAGACGACAGATGCAGAGCTTCTGAAGCTAAACTGAGACGATGTAAGGACAGTAGGCAGAACCTCTGAGTAGAAGAGCGATGACAGGAACTAATTCAAATGGCAAAGTGCTGATACCTCCAGGGCATCGTAGGGTGCACAGGACAAACAAGGCTGTTTAGCAATGTGCAGGATAGTCTCAGGGCAGCCGACTCTGGTACCATCTGTCATACCGACTTTGGTTTGATATTGAGGAACAGGAATCTTGTTTCAAAGGGACTATCAAACCTAAAAATGCACACCCTCCCACACGCCGCCCACACCCACACCACATGGAACAGTCACAGAGCACTTGCTTTCCCGCTGGCTCGGTCGGGTAGCCTGGTGCAGCCATAGCCCTGACTGCAGCATCTCTAAAGAAGGAGTCTGAATGAACCCAGGACAAAACACGTTATAAATCTCCATGAATGTCTGTTCTCTGGTTTTTGCTCAGTTGAGGTTTCTGGAGGTTTGGGTTTTTTCATTTGTTCTTTGTTTTCACATGCCACTGTGCTTCTGGTTTCTAGCTAGGATGATAATCAGTGCTTTAAAATGTCTCAGTTTTTGCTAGCACAATTCTACCAAGCTTTTGTCAGAAAATAGTGGAGATGCCCCGTGAGAACCTGATTTTATCAACAGCTCCATCTAGGGCAACTCAAAATATTCACAGTCTAGGGAGGCCAGATGAATTTTAATAAATAGCCACACTAAACGCCAGCTCTTAGACTCTGAAGTTTAATTTTCCTTTTCCACAGAAATGCGAGCTCTGAGGCATGAACTTTGAGCCAGGCAATCCACAGAAATTTGAGCTCCGTTTCCCCTCTCAGTGCCAAATAGAGATATTTATTTCCAAACTCCTGCTGCCACCAATTGCATCAGCTGGTATATTGCTGGTTTTGCCTCAGGAGTTAACTAATTAGATACCAGTGTCTGCTTTGAAGAATAATTCCCTTCGAATAACTCATGTTTCAAATTCATGCAGTAGGTATTTCAGGAAACTTTACCCTAAGAATTTTTTTTCTGAATCACTTTGCAACACCAGCTGGCCAATAAAATAATGTGGAGCATTTTTATTGCTGATCATATTTTGTACTCATTCTAGTTCATTCATTTCAATAAATATGAAGTCTCTACTGAATGACAGCTGCCTTTCCCTGTATTTGCACAGGATTTAACACAATGTCTGTAAAGTAAAAATACACATTACTAACAAGAATTTCAAGGTAGTCAAGGAGCTGTGTTAAGGTTTCATGTGAGCTTAGTTTAAAGTGATGCAATTCCACTGTTACATGAGTGAATTTGACCCAAACAAAATCTGTCCTACAATTAATTTATTTTTAAAGGATTTGTCTGCAATATTTTTATACTTCACCTGATCACTGTCACCTGCCAGTGATACAACACTGGGACTGGAAACCTCAAGCAGGCACAAACTTCCTTTTCCTTCCCAACAGAGAAAAGCTAAATGTTTGTCTTCAAATGTATATGAAGATCCAATGCCAAGAATTAAGATTAACTCATATTGAGGCATGTTTGCACAACCACCAAATAGCTGAAATGTGACTTTGGTTACAGAGGGGCATACCTGTTAATAATTTCAGCAAGGCCACCAATCTGCCGAGGAAAAAAGGACTGAAAAAGAAAGCCAATCTGAAGGGACCACACTTCTTGTCTCTGGGGGAAGAGACATCAATCAGCACCTCCTGGCTTTGCCCAAGAAGCTGAAAACACACTGCATTGGGTGATATTAATTGTAATATTGATTAAAATAACCACCTGAAGCTGGGAACGTCCATGTGAGAGTTTGCATTCATCAGGCAGTCTTTTTCATTCGTGCATGCTTGTGCATAAAACAGCTCTGTGCTTACAGAGGAAAGAAGTGTTTGCTGGTGCTGCTGCACCTGTGAGATGGTTTTGTGCTCCCAGACCAGACTTGGAAGGAAAATGGCCAGTGGGAGAGATGGCAGCTTCCCTGGCACCTAACTGACAACTGCAAAATATTCACCTATTCTTCTGTAAGGTGCAATTAAAAGCTGACCTTCAACCCTACAAAACCAAAGAGGGAGCAAAATGGCCTTAAACAGTGATGGGAAAATTTGCAAAATGCCAAACTGAAACAGTAGCGGAGGGCCGGCCAAAAAATAATGAGCTGAAGGTGAATACAGGACTAAGAAATGGGAACTGTGGTGACCAGAACAGAACAGAACCGACAAGGGAGGAGAACTGGAGAATGGAGGAATTAAGAGCAAGAGAAGCTGAATGCAGCTGGTGGATCACTAGCTTGTTGGCCACAGTTGTGCAGAGTCAGAACCAAAAAATCAGACAAGATGAACTGTGACTGGCCCTTTAAACCCCAACAACAGCATTTTTTTCAGCTAGAAAGCAATTAATACCAAACATCTAGACCTACTTTTTTCAAATTGCACTTCTAATACTGTTTGAAAATGTGAGACATAAACACCAAATAGCTCCCCAAGAAATCACAAACTGGAGGGCAAAAACCAGTTTCAGAAAACAAGACCTATAGGAATGCATTTAGTATGGTTATTTATTTTAAAAAAATAAATAAAATCAAAGCAGACAAGTGAAGTGAGGGAAGGTTGTTTTTTCTATAATTAACTGGAATGAGGAGTTGGGAATGGCCAGTGATTTATTTGTGGCTCTTCCAATTATTTATCTTCAAACCAAGTGATTAATAGTTGTTTGAATTTAGGTTTTAAAATTACCATATTTTTAATGTCCCGTCTAGCTAGGGATACTGTGCATAGAACTAACGCTGGAATTATTAACTTGGGTGCATACATTTTGCTAAACAAAAGTTAATAGCTATATAGATCTATATTAAATAAGGTTTTCATAGAATCATAGAATCACAGAATGTTTGGTCTTGGAAGGGACCTCTAGAGATCATCCAGTCCAACCCCCCTGCCAGAGCAGGATCCCCTAGGGCAGCCACACAGGAACGCATCCGGGCAGGTTTTGAAAGTTTTCAGAGAAGACTTTTAATCCCAGAATGTTCAAGGGAAATTATCAGCAACTTCTTTGAACATATTCCGTGTCTACAATTCATTTAAGCAAATTATTAAGTGGTTGTGATTCATACCAATCTGCCTTTTGATCTGACTGTGCTGAACAGATGAATGCTTTTGTCTCATCTGAGCTGAAGATAGGCTGAAGTCCCAGTATCAAAGAGGCAGAGGGGGAGAGAGAGGACAATCCCTCTAAGGCCAGGCTCCCCCTCCTTGTGCTGTTCTGGTCTGTGGAGCCCTCAAGTGACACGTGTACAAATAAATGGGTTTTGTTCGTGCAGACATTGTCTTGAGGGCTGCAGTCTCTCCAGCCAGCCATTATCACTGCCACTACAAAGTTTGTTCCCTAATATCTAAACTAAATCTTTATTGCCTCATGTAATGTTGCAACATTACAACCTCCTTTGGTTTTCTTACTGGTGTTTTCTGAAGTGTTGTGCGACTTCATTGTTCTCCTCTGGGCTGAGAGGGTGTTACAGTGTCCAGTACAGGCTCCAGGGCTCCCTCACAGGTTCTACAGGAGGAGGCAGAGGGCTACTGCTGTGCTTCTGTCTGTGCATGCATCTATGGGACTTGTCCTTTTTGCGGTACTGAATCGTGCCAGCTTATGCGGCATGGCAACGCCCAGATCATTTTCAGTAAAACTGCTACAAGGACAGGCTGAGGGAGCTGGGATTGTTCAGCATGGAAAAGAGAAATCTCTGGAGGACCTTATAGCTGCCTTCCAATACCTGAAGGGAACCTACAGGGAGGCTGGGGAGGGACTGTTTACAAGAGTGTCCAGTGATAGGACAAGGGGAAATGGATTTAAATTGAAGGAGAATAGGGTTAGATTGGATCTTAGGAAGAAATTCTTCAGTATAAGGGTTGCAAGACTCTGGAATAAATTGCCCAGAGAACTTGTGGATAGCTCTTCCCTGGAAATGTTCAAGGCCAGGCTGGATGAGGCCTTGAACAATGTGGTCTAGTTGAGAGGCGTCCCTGCCCATGGCAGGGAGGTTGGATTAGATGATCTCTAAGGTCCCTTCCAACCTACGCCATTCTATGATTCTATGAAAAAGTGGATGGTTGTTCTCCTTTCTGTGTAGCTGACTCTCCAGTTGTCCATTGAGCAGCATCCTTGTTTTTCAGATCATCTTTCTCTTCTCCCAAGGCTACTTTCCTTTTTTGATTCTAACCTGTGAAGTACTTGCCGTCCTTTTACCTGTGGGTGTCTTTAAGTGTGGGTCAGAGAGAGGAGTCTGCTGGCCTCATTCTTCAGCACAAATATATGAATGAGAGTGGTACCATTACCACTATTTGCCATAAGGGATATGTATATGTAAATTGTTAAGAGAAA